TGTCTGTGGCTTCACTTGAACTACGTTTGAGAGTGAGAGAGGAGGGAAGAGGGAGCTGAGGTGGTTACTGTGAGTGCGCTGGGGCCAACGTGATCTCAGCTATAGTTCTCAGTAAAACAGAGTATTTTTCCTTCACATACGGTCAAACTCACACACACACACACAAACTGCTGCATGCCTGCTCACATTCCAGCTGGAAGCTCATCGCCCAATCGGCAACGAGCATGCAAATGAGATGGGTGTGTCCTTTTAAAGCTGGAGTGCAGGGTCTGAATGGAGAATAGAACAGAGAATAAACTAGGGAGCAGAATATAAATGTAGAGAAAAACATAACATGGATAGATGGAAGAAAGTGTGCATGTTTATCAGTGAAAGGATGTGTGGTCTAACTATCCACAGATAATGTTTTCTCTAGATTTGGTGTTAGTGCAAACGCAGACTAGAAACAGAATACAACTCACACCTACTGTCCTTGCTTAACCTCACTTTGTGCATGTGTGTAAGTGTATGTGTTTATCCTGCGGTCCAAATCTGTACTATATATATATAAAAATGAGGGCAATTATGATTATATCCATTTTTTCTACTGATTGTTTTCTCCCTTAATCCCTAAATTGCTTTTAAAAAAAAATCTTGCCGCATCACAATTTCACAGTTTCATCCATCCAACAGTCCAAAACCCAAACATATTCAATTTGCAATGATATAAATTAGATGCGGTCCGAAGTAACAGACAGTTAATAAAATGACATTTAATCCAATGTCAATGTAGTGTGTTGCAGTTGCTCTGGCATCTGCCCCTGCATTTGTCCAGCATGACTTTAAACTTAATAAATCTCCGTTCTGGGTCTGTCTTTAATATTTGAGCTTTCTTTAAAGTCATTTCCAGCATCAACAAAAAAGCCAAACAATCAATTGTTTAAACTTTTCAACTGTAAGAACTTGCTTTTGGTATAATGTCAGAGTAATGTGATGAGTGTTTTTAAGTTTTTAATGAATCATCAGAATAATCTTCAGCTGCGGCCCTACTCATGTCTCCTCCAGGACTTAGGAGAGCTGCACACTGAGCTGTTCTAACCCATAGAAGTTCCCAGTAGGTGGTATATGTTGTTATCCACACGTGATCCATGATATATATGGTTCAGTGCACATGATGCACACATGCAGCTGGATCACTACCGCAAACCAACAGTAATGGCAATCGTCACTGATCGGCATGTTCAATTCTAACTGCAGCCAGGGCAAGTTCACATGTAACAGGAATTGTTTTGCACAAAAATGGCAATAAAACTGTTCTTAGTGTCAATGACGTCATTCAATCTCTACTCCATGTGTGTAGGAAAGGTACCTGCATCTTGAAGTTGGAGGTTTTTTAGTTCTAGTTTAACTTTCAGCAAAGATTCCTTGGAGAGTCTAAATTGCCCCTAGGTGTGAATGTGTGGGTGTGTGCTTGTTTGTCTCTATGTGTCAGCCCTGTGATGAACTGGTGACCTTTCCAGGGTGTACCCTGCCTCTTGCCCAATGTCAGCTGGGATTGCCTCAAGTGGAGTTTACTAGACTTATTTAACTATTATTATATGCTATAACACACACACATATATATATATATATATATACATACATATATACACACACACACACACACACACATACACATACATACATACATACATACATACATACATACATACACACACACACACATATATATATATATATATATATATTGTTTTTTTGTTTTTTTTAAATACGGGCATAGGTACTTAATTCTATGAAAACAAGCAGCCATTGGTCCTGCTGATAATGACTGTCACTTGTTTTTTTCCTTAAGCAATCTCCATTAATTCTGTAATGCCCACTCTGACACTGAGTCTTTCCTCCTAGTTAACACCAGGACACTCAGTGTACAGGAAGAGGTAAACAAAACACAGAGCAGGAAGTGTGCGTATTATTGTTGTACTGCACCATGGAGCACATCTTATGAAAAACCAGTGAGCTGATGTCACTGTGTCCATTCAGAACAGAGCAAAGACTGTTGCCCACAGTGGCACTGGCCTTCATTCCCCGGATTTGGTCTAAGTAGCACATTTGAGCCAATATTGCACTGTGCAATGTGTGAAAAATGCACTCTGCACTTATGTACATGTGTCAGATTCATTCTGACAACTCTTCTCCCAACATTGAAGCTGCTATAGTCCTTCTTATATTAACAATGGATGAAATGACAGTGTGTAATGTGAAAGAGTCATTCGTAGTGATGAGCCAACATGGAGAACATGTTTCTTTCAGCTATTTGCAGATTAATATCATCTTTTAGCAGGTTTTGGTTTTAGGCCCCACAACATTACTTATATGTTTCACTCTCACTGCCCTCTTTACTTTCATTTCTAGACACAGTAGACAGTTTTCAGCAAAAAAGCTTTATTATACTTACGCTAGCTTCCCAGCAACAAACAGCAGATAGACAAAGTTAGCAACCCCACTGAGGCGAGTTGGTGGCGACCAAAACACAGCTAAAAGCAGAGTGCTAATGAATGCTAATGTTACTCTGTATTTGTTAATGTGTAATTAGCTAACTGTTTGAAAACAAGCTCACCATATCAACCTTTGTATGGAGATAAAATATCAATGCCAAACAAAATAAGTTACTGCAGGTTTAAACTAGAAACATACTTGCATCATTGTGGACGAAGGTGAAGAGTGGAAGAGAAATGAAACAAAACTGGAAAATGTGTGTCAAGAGTTCACTGGATTAGGGCTTATTTTGGCAGCTACATTAGTTTATTGTATATGATTATGTTGCTAGACATATAGGATAAAAGTAATAGTTAGTTTAATTAGTTTAATACATCAGCAGCAGTCAAAAGGTCAAGGTACATCATGAGCCAGTGTCCAGTGCTGAGGCAGAAAGCTACTGTGGAGTGAAGTGGCCCATTCACTGCACTATGCATAAACATACCTTCCTGCAGTACAGCTAATCAGCCATCCTTTCCCAGGTCCTCAGTGGTACAGCCCAGCCTAGTGGCTTCACAGCAGAGTGGACTACTTTATTTAGAACAGAAGGAGGGGGTATAAACCACATGCAGACTGCTCGGCTGACTCACTGACTAGAATAGAGGTCTGCTTAAAAAACCTGTGCCGTTTAAAAAAAGAAAGGAGGGAATGACACTGAGTGGAAAAAGAGACAACAAGTAATAGAACAGAAATAAAGAAAGAGTACTTCCAGCTAACACAGTTTCTGATGTTCTCATTTTTATCATGCAACTCTCAGGGTGAAGCAGTGAAACGGTCCTCAGTCTGTTTTCATTCATTAAGAGTGCAAAGCCTGGTCAAGCGTGGCATGCACAGAGGGCATGGCAGTGTACTTTTGGCATTTTGTGGCTGGAGGTGTGCGGCGCACCCGCAGTACAGATGGAAACAGGGTGGGAAGAAGAGGAACACATTGTTGAACATTAAGGGCTGGAACCAATCCTCACTTTCCAGTTTGATCTGACTACATTTAACTGCGACAGTACTGTCACCACAACCAAAACTGGGAACCCGAAACAATAGTTTCACTGCTTTGAATAATGTAACAAATTACCATCCTTAATTTTGTAAAACAAATATGTGTTTCCTGTCACACCACGTTTGCATCTCCAACCAACACAGCGATTATTGTATTGATAAACAAGCAGGAATCTGATGAAGAAAATGCAATGTCTCAGGAGCTACGAGAGATGATATATGAAGCTGTCGTGCCCGGTTACCTGTTGTTTTTGGATGAGGATATGGAGACAGGGTTGGTGACAACAGGTGGTCTTAAAAAGGGGCTCAGTGACGTAGAGAGGAGAGGAGAGGAGAGAGAGATTTAACGGTCTGAACTTTGTGTGTACCCTGCATCTGTATTATGTCACATTCAAATCCCAACTGGAAGAGTTATGTGCACCAGAAAAGTGTGTGTGATTATTTTGCAGCAGCACTGAGCTGGTTTCATTTAAAACAAGGTATCCACAGCAGATATGGCATAATTGCAATTTGAAAGTGAAGAACTGTCTGAGATAGTGGATAGAAATCTGCGAGAGGTAACACAAAGTTACCAAATGGATAACTAGAGTCAATTAAGACATATAATTAAGTGCAGATACCAGTGAGGCATCTTAAAAGGCCTTGTTTTTTCTGACCAAGTTCAAGATATTCAGTTTGCTATCACAGAAGACAACCAGAAAATCTTCACATTTGAGAAACAAGTAATATTTTTTGCAATTATTGCAAAAATATTTTTTAAGTTGAAACAATGAATTAGTTATTAAAATTTTCATCTAAATTTTTGAAAATTAATTTTCTGATATTCAACTAATCAACTTACTCAATAATTGTTTCAGCAGTCAGCAAGGCATTCATTACTTTATGAGCTAATTTGGAGTTCATTAAGAAACACGATATAATTCTAATTAAGGTTAAATTAAGACAAACACTTAAAGAGTTAACTGAAAACTAATTAAGACCATTTATTTATATTTACTGTTCATAGATCAATTAATGGTCTCTTACACGCGCGCGCGCGCACACACACACACACACACACACACACACACAAGGCTAATAGTTGGGTGTGTTGTTGAGAACTGCAACACCTGCCAGCTAAACACACTCACACAAACGCGCGCACGCACACACACATACACTCAGTTAACCAGTAACTCGCCAGCCCGTGCCAGTCGCACATATTGGTTTATACAATATACGCACACATACGCACGCAGAGTAGGAGCCCCGGATATCAGTCAGGATCTAGAAGCTACACCGCCCTCATGAGGTCCGGCTCCGGGCGGAACAGGCAGGAGAGGTGCGTTTGATTTAAGGGACTTTAAATGCAGACAGCTGACTTCCAGCAGAACAGAAACAACTTGACTGCACAGTTTAAACTCATAAATAGCCTATGTACAGGCCTACTGTAGACTCACACAGGTGACAGACATGTGAAGCAATGGAAAGAGTAATTAGGAGCGAGAACTCACCACATTAGTGAGGAAATCTCCGTCGCTGAGTTCCTCCAGGTCCAACAGGTTGGTCCCACCGGGCGGATAGAGTTTCTCTGCTGTTAAGCTGTCTAAGATAGACTCCATCATGACTGCCGGTGTCTGTCTACAGCTCCGTGGATGATGGGCAGTAGCTATCTGGACTTATGGTCGTGAACGCTAATCTTAAAATCAACTCATTAAAAAGAAGCTGTTCATCAAACAGCTGCACGTGCTGTGTCAGTATCCAGCAGTTCTTTTGTGACCACCTGTAGGCTATGTAAACCTGGTTGGACGAGCCGAGTCCAGCTGCTGCTTTTCTTTTAGTGACAGACTTGACAAACGTCGGAAATTCACATCCTTCTGCTGGCGTACCGGAGACGGTGCTATCCATCCAGCTGTGTGCGTGAGGCTCAGCCTCTCTACTCGCGTGCGCTGTCTCCCCCACGCGTCTAATGAATATTGAGTGAAGGACCGCCCCGTGGCGTCAAATAACAGAGCACGCCCAAAACATAAAATATAAACTCTTATCTTAGCAAGAAAATGTAATGTAGGCCACAGTGGTGGAAAGTACATTTACACAAGCAGGTAAGTACACTTTTGAAGCTACATTTCAGAATCAGATTTATTGCCAGATACATGTTCAAATAGGAGGAAGTTTTCTTGGTAAAAATTGGTGCTTAACAGTATAGAAATTTTATATATCTGAAGTGAAACATCTCAGCATCTACTGGAGAGATTGGTACAAAACCTTGTACAAACTGTACATTCATGGTTCCAAAAGGATAAATAAGGACTTTGGTGATCCCCTGACTTTTCATGTAAAACCACCATGAAGTTGAAATTTGTGGTTTTGGGTGAAAAGTTTCATCAAATATTGGATTGATTGTGACACAATTTTGTACACATATTCATGTCCCCCATGATGATGCCTAAAATGCAGCACCTCAACCAACATCAACAGTAAAATGCTGCTTACACTGTAATAAGTTTTTAAGGATTGGATTTTGAGAGTTATTGCTGCATTAAAGGCCTTGCACACCCATGACACACAGGTGATTTCAATCATTCTGGCTTATTTGATGTCTTGTCAGGACTGTGTGTGCATGCACAGAATGTCTATGGGGAGGGGAAAGGTACACCCTTATCATTTTTATTAGTACAGCAACCTGAGCAGAGGTCTAACCAGCCAGAATAAGTGACCTGCGAGGTTGCATAGACCCTTTCAGAGGCTATTTTGCTTAATTTGTTTGATGGACCTTTTTCATGACTTCCTGGGACACATAGGCCTATGGAACTGTGCTCTCATTAATCTTATCATTTCCACCTGGTCTTTTCTTGCTATGACAAGTCCAAATGTCAATGAAAAGGTCTAGCAGCAGGCACTGGAGGGGATGTAATATTACCCCCTTTAGGTCAGAGGGAGTCATTGCGATTTGAGTTATTTTAACATTCTGTCTTTATGGAAATAAGACAATTAAGATAACTAGATTGTAAAACGTGTTAAATGTAGCGTGAGCAACACAGACCACATTTACTTTTAAAAAAGTGATTTGAGAATGTGTGTTTGTGTATGAAAGAAAAACAGGAAAAGACAGGTGAAAGACTGCTCTGACAACCCGATATACTGCCTGCAGCTACTACACACAAACACACACACACACACACTGTGGAAATTAAATAGATCTCTCTCTCACTCTCTCTTCCGTGGTTGCTCAGGCTCGCCCGTCTCGTTCTGCCCCAGATTGTTTCTCCTCTGAGAGACAGCAAGATAGAGAGATTGAAACACAGAGCGGCAAGAGAAACGCTGTTCATTGTGTTTCAGGTATCAGAGGTGCATGTGTGTACAGCTCTGACCTGTTATATAACCTGGGTCCATTTCCATGAAAGAGGTTTGTAAGAAGGACATTTCAAAGTGTGATTTATTAACAAAATGAAATATCTCAACAACTATTGGATGGATAGTGAAATTTTGTATTGACATTCATGGTGCCCAGAGGATGATTTCTAATGAATTCCAACTTTTCATCTAGCACCACCATGACGTCAGTGTTTTTGTAAGGACTTTAGTGATCCCCTGAATTTTCATGTAAAACCACCATGAGGTTGAAATTTGTGGTTTTGAGGGAAATGTCTCATTAAATATTGAATTGATTGTGGTACAATTTTGTACACATGTTCATGTCCCCCTCAGGATGAATTGTAATCCCTTTGGTAATCCCTTAATTATCATGGAGTCATGAGTATAATATTGTTACAGATAGTGTTATAGTCCAGACCACCCAAACCGAGACCAAGACATGATGATGGCGCTGAATACCTACCAAACAGCCATAAAGCTGACATTCCCATTAATCTCTGCTCTGTGTGTTTAATGCTACTTAGAAAATGTTGGCGTGCTAACTCGCTAAATAAAGATTACATGGTAAACATGAATTCATCCATCCATCATCCATCCATCGTCAACTGCTTATCCTGCGTACAGTGTCGCGGGGGAGCTGGAGCCACTCCCAGCTGACATTGGGCGCAAACATGAATTCAGTTCAATGCAATTTTATTTGTATAATTTGTCATATAGAGCAGGTCCAGACCATACTCTTTATTTACAGAGACCCAACAATTCCCACCATGAGCAAGCACAAGAAAAAACGTCCTTTTAAGAGGCAGCGAGTGAAAGCTGAACTAATATGGCAACATCTGTTTACATTTCTCAATTCTATCATCTATCGACCACTAGTTCAAAACTTTATTTCAAACCAAGTTATAAAAAGTATGAAGATTGCAAGTGGACTACTGCATGGCTCCGTTATGTGTCCTTCAGCATTTATATTTGATCCAGGACTTGAGTCACATGACTTGAACTGGGTCCAGACACACACAATCACACAGTTGATGACTTTAGACTTGACTTGACAAAATCAGAAAAAGTATTTGTCTGTTACTAGTGTTGTGGTACCAGTCTTAAGACCACTTTTTGATGGTCTTGGTCTTGTCTCAGACTCATTCACATTTGTATTCGGTCTTGTCTCAGTCTCGTACATTGAGGACTCTGGATTTTATTTCAAGACCAGTCAAGACCATAACTTTGGAAATAAATTGCTTTTTCATTGTCTGATTTATTTGTTATCACTCTAACTTTGACTGGATGTAAAACGGATTGCTTCAAATGCAACCAATAACCCTAATTAAACATGTGATGTTCCCTTTAACGACTACCACCCCTCCCCGCGATAGTAGGCCTAAATGTGGAAAAGGAGTGTTGAATAAAGATGCTTACGTTGATTTCAGCTTTTAGTGTTTGTATGTGGGTATTTTAATGGGAATGTGGATCTTCCAGATCAGTTTGTGAAGTACCTATGATCACGCTTCACATTTTACCGTGTGTCATGTAATGTGGGGAACAGGTCTTGGTCTTGACTCGGTGTCACCTTCCCTTGGTCTTGGTCTCAACTTGGTCTCAGCCCCTAAAAGTCTTGGTCTCGTTTTGGGCGGTCTTGACTACAACACTATCTGTAACAATATTATACTCATGACTCCATTTGGATTTGAGCCTTGTGTCACGGTTGAGCATGAGCACAAAACAGGTGAAAGCCCAAATGTAAGTGTCAGGAGCGGAGAAACAGTTCAGGGGCTTTAATCCATAACATGGAAAAGGCAAAACAAGGCTTACAAAGTGCAGGGACTGGCAACATCCAAAATCGACAGCACAGCAAAAGGCAGAACACTCTTCCTACAACACATAACAGAGAGTATACACGCTACAGTGACCGGACAGGGAATGAACAGAAACACCAAACATATCTACACAGGGACAACGAGCAGGGTGGGAGCAACACAGGTGACCGGGATCAGGGCTAACAAGGCAGAGAGACAGCAGGGGAAAACAGAGATACACTTACAGATGCAAAACACAAGACCATACATTAACTGGAACTCAAAGTATTTAGTGGACAAGCAGGCAGAGGAATTACTGGGGCAACAGACACAAGCAAACAGATCACAAATAAATAACACCAACAAAGAACACAGACTGAAGCTAAGATTAAACAGAACTCAGAGCAGACATAGGCAAAACAACACAGAAGTTTACAGACCAGAAGTAGACACTCAGGCACAAGACTGGGAACTAAGACACAGAACAAGGAACTAAGATAAGAGACAACACAGATACTAAGCAAACTTGACTTGAAGACGCGAATGAATAAAATAATAAACAAGGCTAAAGCACAATGATCAAAATCAGATTAATGAAACTGGCCGAAAACATAAATAGACACCTAGCAAATAGACAGAACTCAAGTATGAAGGTACAGAAACTAATACATGAAACAGGACTGAAATCAGGAAAATACCAAAACACCACTAAACACCAGCTGACAGATAATAACCAGATAAACAATAATATCAGGGAGAGGATGCGCACTAAAGGTAGCAAGCAAACTAAAAACTATGTCTAAACTAACAGCACAGCGAAAGGGATTCTAACTAATAAGACAGGGTGGCTAAGGGAGACAAGATGACAGAACAACACAGACCAAGAAGACTGGATACAAGACCACAGAGAGGCAGGACTGAAACCCAAAAGCCAACAGACTATATAACAGATACCTAACTGATAAAAGAATAAACTCAAAGGGAACTAAACAGAACAGATGACAGTACTAACATGCAGATACAAAACCAAACCCTCATAATCAGGACAGGATCGTGACACCTTGTGAATTGAATGAACTGATATTTTCATGGATTTAACCCTGAGTGTATGGTTAAAATCAAAGTCATTACAGAGGATGTGGTAAAGGTTAAGAGACAGGATCCTTTTGTCATACAGGACTACAATGATTACCATCAGATGTTTGTGTGTATGTTTTATGTTACTATTCAAACAATAGTTACTAAGTGTTATGTAATGATCTCATGTTACTCTACCACCTCTTTCCGCCTCACTTCTACTCATTCCATTCCTGGATTTTCTTTTTTCTGCCTTTTCCTTATCACTCATTCCTCCTCTCTCTGCTCCCACCCCACCTCTTCTCTCTTTCTCCTTTCTCCTTCCAGATATCAATTTACGGACTTGTCCCACACCAAAGGGCAGGGTGCCTCTGTTTTTCTCTCACACACATTGGTGTTGTATAACAGTGGTGACCTTCCACAGTTATACAATAATTCTGTTTTAAACCTAACTAATCCTAATTCAGATTTAAAGGTGCCCTGTGGATTGTTTGATCACTAGGGGCACTGTGGCGCAATGTTTTAATGTTTCACCAGCACAAGCACAGGGGTGGCGTGATATTTATTTTATCCTCCACGATCGTATTTCGTGTCATCTCTCTCTGTATTTAGTGAAACACTCTGTCCTTTTGTTTGAGAAGTGCTATATAAATAAAGTTTTTTATAATTATTATTATTATTATTATTTAGGGCTGCAGCTAATGATGATTTTAGTAATTGAGTATTCTACAGATTATTTAATCGATTTGTCGAGTGATGGTATAATAAGTACTTTTGCTAGGCGGTGCCGAGTGCAGAGGGTGGTAATGCATATCGACAGTTGGAGTCAGTAATGTAAACAAACTTTCAAATCATTCAAAAAGTCTTATAGAAGATGGGAAATGTATTCAACATGAAACACACAGTGAGTTGAATGTATACAAAACTGTTTGTTTAAAATGAAAAAAACACATTGTAGCTTTAATATGAAACCCAAGACGTATATAATATTTAAGTTATAATCCCAGCAATTTTTCTCATTGCAATGTCCATTTTTATTATTATTTGTCTTACACTAATCAGCCATAACATTATGACCACTGACAGGTGAAGTGAATGACACTGATTATCTCATTACCATGGCACCTGTCAGTGGGTTATATTAGGCAGCAGATGACCATTGTGTCCTCAGCTGATGTGTTAGAAGCAGGAAAAATGGGCAAGTGTAAGGAGCAACTTTGACAAGGGCCAAATTGTGATGGCTAGATGACTGGATAAGAGCACCTCCAAAACTCTCTGCAGTGGTCAGTATCTATCAAAAGTAGTCCAAGGAAGGAAGAGGGGTGAACCGGCGACAGGGTCGTGGCAGACGAAGGCTCACTGATGCATGTGGGGTGCGAAGGCTGGCCTGTGTTGTCCGATCCAACAGACGAGCTACTGTAGGTCAAACTGTTGATAAAGTTCATGCTGGTTCTGATAGAAATGTGTCAGAACACAGTTCATGTAAGGTGGAGTCCATGCCTTGATGGGTCGAGGCTATTCTGGCGGCAAAAGGGAGGCCTATATTATGACTGGGCAAATGTAAGACAAATATTCACTGTACTTTTCATTCTGTTTTAGACTCCACTAACTGCCAAGGCAAATATTTGGCTCTTTACATGTGAAATACTCCACTATGTTCCCCAGCTAGTTGCTAACTTTGTCTGTCTGTCATTTGGTGCTGGGCAGGCAGCATACAATGGGGTTATAAGAGTTTTTTTTTTACTGAAAACAGCTGCCTGCTGGGAATAAGACAACAAAACACTCCATGGAGTTGAGGGGAACTGCAGTTTTTTTTATATACTGGATTTACATTTCAACCATTGTTAAAATAAAAATATTGATAGTTGCAGCTGTAATGACTAGCTTCAATGACTTATCTGACAATCTACTACAAAGTAAGTACACTATTGATGATTGCTAATCCCTAAACTCTGTTTTTGACGAGTGTTACATTGCTGAATAGTGAATACAGTCATTAGTTTGTATTCATGTTTCTTCAGCATGAAATCAACTCGACTTTCAAACTGCGGTGTAATGAATGGAAACAAATGGCTGCCTTTAAGGCAGGAGAAACCTAATTCAAAACTGGCATTGATCAGCAGATAAAGAAAGAAACAGCAGACAACTGTTATGGAAAATAAGTGTCCACCTCCTCCTGGACACAATACACAGTCCAGGATGCAGACAGAGAACATTCATACGTATATTATTAAGGTAAGTAACCGTTAACCTTACTTTGTCTATAAACTGCCACTTCCAAATAAGCCATCACTGAGGATTAGATCAATGCATTTGATTGATGTATTTGTTTAAAATAAACCATATAACCATTTAAGCTTTAATTTTTGCCTGTTTGAATGCAATCCAGCTCCGTGATTGGTTGGTCATCTGTTGATGCAGGTTGTGAGAGGCAGCTCTCTGATTGGCTGTTGGTGTCATGATGCAGGTATGACTCATCTTCTATTCTCAGCCAAAGAAATGACTTGGGGTTTTGACCTTCTGTCTCCTTGGTGACCGCTGTGGTGTCGTCACACCGTCCGTGCATTCATTGTCGTCGTCCTCTCCCATCTGTCTCAAATCCACTCAGGTTTGTTGGCATCATAAATAACATCCAAGCATTGAGGTGAGGAACACAGTTTATGTGTGAGTAAATGATGGGCACACTCTCCACCATACTGTCACTACCAGACAATTACAATTACTCCTCTCATAATATCTTTTCCTCACTCCCTGTGCTGACCCTGTTAAGAGGCTTGAGTGCATTCACTGTAGCACACACATGTTGGTGAATATAAATTCACACTTTGATATTAATGACTTCTATTTCCAAGCAGTCTGTTCACATTAACGGTCAGGGCCGGCACAAGACTTGAAGACTATGAGGTTCCAAGCAGGGCCCCCCCTCAACCACCACCATCCAACTTATCACCTCACCTGAAATAAACTAGTGCCATTAAGATTGAGGTATATGGGGAAAAAAAGCACCAAAGCATATAAAGAATATCAATTTATACAGTTTGACAAAATAATCTTAATTCATGCTACTAAACACTTGTAACCACATCATATGTGTTCGACTAGTGAGAGCTCCTTGAGTCAAGATTATTTTGTCAAAGTGCTATTCAAGATCAAGAATAAGCATCCACACTCAAAAGTAATTTACAGTTTTACTGTGATATTTCACGTGTAACGCAAATTTGCACGACTATCCACTATATTAATATCTAGAGAAACTTCTGTGTTGCCTAATAACAACATATGTTTGTGCTCAATTGACAAAGACCTCTACGAGATGTAAGAATTATGACTATTGTCTATGTTTACCTAACCATTACAGTGCCAGATCAGAAAACTCATGGTAACAGCGGGTGTTACCAGTTTGCATAGTTCTGCTCAAAATGACATGTATCAAGCGCAAAGGCCAGCAAAACACACCTTCTCCATCAGAAATGCAATACAAGAAGAGAAACTCATGCCTCTGTTTAAAAATATATGTCACAATTAAAATAAAAAAACAAGAGTGAACAACTACACTTTGAATCCTGGGAAAGGCGGACTCTGCCAGTGACAATGAAAATTACTATACAGAGATGCAATCACAGAATCCAAATACATTGAATGGCAAATGCTGAAAAAATGCCGGTCATATATAGTATAAAAAATAGGATAAGGATTTTAACTTTAAAGACAAAAGTCTGACATTTTCATCCTGTGTATTTCTACGTAAAGCCCAGTGGGGTTCTGTGGTTGGTTGGTTGGTTCGTGGTAGCTGGGTGGAGTAGTTGTAAATGGTCATGGCAGTGGACAGAGAGGTGGAGAGTAAGCACACTGTCAGTTTTCCCATAATGTCTCCACGAGTAGCAGGAGATAGAGCAGTATGTATAAACAGTGTAGTCAGGCTCAGTGTGGCTGCGACTGAGCTGCTCTTCTTTCCTTTTTGTGCTCCTTACAAACAAATAAGATGCCAGAGAAACCCGTTGTCCTTCCCCGTTATAGTCTTATTTTCTGAGTTGCTTTGTCCTGTCTCTCTTTTTTCAGACGTCTCTCGCTGATCATAAAGTTCAGAAGTTCAGAGTGAGCAATGAGGAGAGAGAGATACATGGAAAGAAACACAGAGACTGAGTCAAATAACGCCAAGACCGTAATCAAAGCCAGACTCCTTCCTTACACACTGTTACATCATATATACACACTCCTACAACAAGAGAAAGTCAAACTGTTTTACTCGCAGAGTGATGGACTTATAAAAACTAACTTTGAAGTTGACAGCCTAGTTAAAAGTATGTGGACACCCGAACATGACACCCATATGTGATTCTTAATCATTTTATTCCAAAACCATGGGCGTTGATCTGCTGCTGTAACAGCCTCCACTCTTCTGGGAGGACTTTCCACGTGATTTTGGATCTCACTAAGTTGGGCACTAAGGGCTCAGCGCAGGCTAGCCAACTTCTTCCATATCAAACTGGACAGAGATGTATATAACGTTGGCCAAATGGTGTATTTGACATCCTGTGGGACTTGGGTTGAGTCTGCACTAACTGAAATGACTGTACTGCCCTCTACTGGAGAATGGAACACATAGCAAACAAGGACAAAAAATCCTGTAGAGGGCTCTCAGTTTATACATTAGTGTATATGGCTTAAACAGACTATTGCTTTTGCTGAGTGGTATTACTGTGCACATGCTGACATGTACAGTAAACATATAAATGCAGCTGTTAAACAAAATGCTGTCAAAGGGATGAAAGGAGCTGATGTGATAGCCCATTATTGAAGCTCACCCCAACTCAAATACATACATTATTTCTCCTGCTAATATTTTATTCATCCAGATCCAACCTCTTTTCCAGATTACCTCAGGCTGAGCTGGAATTGTGCAGTAAAACTGCAAACACATATTTGGTCACAACTATGTGCTCTTGTTCCCAGAGTTTGTAAGTTCAAACATTTTTTTATCTACAGTGATTTGCAAAGTTTTGATAATTTTTGTGACTTTTCCTGCTTTGTGAATCCAAGGCCTCAACAACCATCAATCCAGGAAGCCAGAAGTTGCAGGCTTAAGCTGGAAAACCAAATCAGTGCTGCATGAAACTGGTCCACACTTCAAAAGGTTTCATCCATACACAGGCTTACTGAGTGAAACGAGGATTCAACATACCTTTATGTTTCAATAAACAGGGAATACTATAGTGCTAATATCGTAAAATCAGTCCGGAAGTAAAATTTATGAGAACAAACAACGCACACCTTTTACTCAAATGTCCCACTGTAAAAACTGGTGAATTGTTTGTTTGCTGCAGTCACCACTGCATGGTCTTGGATCTGGTCAGCTTCCTGGTCAGAGCGTGGCGAACAGTCAGCATGTAGGAGCGACGGTCAGGGAGAGGGCGCTGCTGATCCAACACCAGCCTGTCAGACACAAAGAAATAAAACATCACCACCAACTGCCAGTCAAACAACACATGACACAGCTGTCCCAGATTTAACTGGGTTTTTTGCAGATATAATACATCAACATAGTTTACAGTTTTATTCAAACAGGAAATCAAACAAAATGGCAAAATGTCTTCCTGAAGATTTGTTTTGCTTGTTCTCCAAGATCTTTCTGGAGTTCTTTCTGGTTCCTCTATTTCCAGTATTATATCCCAGTTGTGAAAAGCTACTTCATTTCCTTTGCACATTGCATTGTGGGAGAATACTGTCCACCAACAGCACACTCATAAATCAAGCGTCTCCTTTATATACTGCAAACGGTGTGAAGTAAGTGTGAAGTTCCAACACAGCTGAACCACACCTGATGAGCTGAAACACGGCTGCTTCCACAGTTAAAACAGCTTCTGCCACAGACAGCTCCCTGAAACCACACCTACACACACACACACACACACACACACAGTATAAAGTCAAAATACTTTTACAAATAAAACTTTATATACAATTTATCCGTTACTCCAGGCAGAAGATAATTAAATGCACATTTAATCCATAACGTCGCCAAGATATATATAAGAGAAAGATATTTGGTAGCAATATAAACAGACGCTCATCTCAAATTTCATATTCAAAATGAACAAAATAAACAGGAGGAAAAACACACACACACAAACCTTAAATCCTTGGCCAGTCTCTGCCCTTCCTCTGTTGTCACCTCCCTGCCAATTTCCAAGTCTGCCTTATTGGCTACCAGCACTGTAGGAACAACTGACGCCAGCCCACACACACACCCACACACGCACACAGTGAAATAAAGGGACAATAAATCGGCAGCATGATGCAATGGTATACAAAGTTGAGAGTTTGTGTTGTTACCTACTGAGCACAGGACGGCCTGCCAAATATGGCATGCATGTCTGCTTCATCTGTGCATGTGCATGTGTGTGTAAAGGTGGCGATAGACAGATGTCAGACAGAGTTAGAACAGAGACTCACTGGACTTTAAGAGCAAACATAGTGAACGCACTGACATCACACTGCTGGCAGTTCAGCAGCTGGTATGTTAGTTATTTACACAGAGCTTACACAAATATACAGTACTTATTGATGTTGCTGACGTTATATTTTCTGTGAAAAGACATTGGAGAATAGGAGAGCTCACATTCTTTTACTGACCTCTGATGTCACACATGCATCCTATACATTAAAGCTGTGAAATGACATGTCATTAACCTTTAACATTGGGGACTCCTAGTGGTAAGCGGTCCTGATTCGCCATCTGTCAAGGTCAGAGGAATCTTTCAGTAGAAACTCAGATGATGAGGAAGTTAGTTCCCTACCCAGACTCTGTTTGGTTTGGTCGATGAGCTTCTTGAGTCGAGGGACCTCCAGGAAGCTGAGGCGTTGTGTGACGGAGTAGAGCAGCAGGAAACCGTCTGCCCAACGAATGGAAGACTCCAGAGAAGCCGCAGAGCTGTCCTGGAGGAGACCATGTCATCAAAACCTCATAAGATTAGTTTGACAGGGTGATACAAACTTTCGTTTTAATGGGCTTGATTTTGGTGAAATTGACAAAATTTCATTGACAGTAGTATTTCTTTTTGTAAAAATAAATAAATAGCTGACAGTGGTGGAGTGTAACTGTAATGTAAGTGCATTTTCTCTCAAGTACAATTTTGAGGTACTTGTACTTTACCTGGGTATTTCCATTTTAATGCTAAAATGGGAAATATTGTACATTTGCAGAATCTGATTATTAATACATAATATATCAATCAACTAAGATTTTATAATGGTTTGTAATGGATTAAGCCCCCCGAGCAACAGGCTATACAAAGTAGCTGTAATTAGCTTCACCATACCAGCTGCAACATTAGTGACACTTATTAATGCATCACTAAATATAATATATACATATACAGTCCCCTCCAAAAGTATTGGAACAGTAAGGCAAATTCCTTTGTTTTGGTTGTTCACTGAAGACATTTGGGTTTAAGATCAAAAGATGAGTATGAGACAAGAGTTCAGAATTTCAGCTGTCATTTCCTGGTATTCACATCTAGATGTGTTAAACAACTTAGGACATATCACCGTTTGTATTAGACCAGGATTCTTAGGTGAGCAAAAGTAATTTGGTGGCATAACCCTTGCTTGCAATAACTATCAAGCCTGCGACCCATCGACATCGCCAAACTGTTGCATTCTTCATTTGTGATGCTATTCCAGGCTTTTACCGCAGCTTCTTTCAGTTCTTGTTTGTTTCGGGGTGTTTCTCCCTTCAGTCTCCTCTTAAGGAGGTGAAATGCATGCTCAGGGTTAAGGTCAGGTGATTGACTTGGCCAGTCTAAAACCTTCCACTTTTTCCCCTGATGAAGTCCTTTGTTTTGTTGGCAGTGTGCTTTGGGTCATTGTCCTGCTGCATGATAAACTTCCTCCCAATTACTTTCAATGCATTTGAAATGGCAGACAAAATGTTTCTGTCCACTTCTGAATTAATTCTGCTGCTACCATCATCAGTTACATCATCAATAAATATTAATGAGCCTGTTCCAGAAGCAGCCATGCCATGACATTACCTCCACCATGCTTCACAGATGAGCTCGTATGCTTCGGATCATAAGCAGTTCCTTTCTTTCTCCACACTTTGGCCTTTCCATCACTTTGGTAGAGATTAATCTTGGTCTCATCAGTCCATAAGATTGTGTTACTGAACTCTTGCAGCTCATCTCTGTACTTCTTTGCAAATTTCAATCTGGCCTTCCGATTCTTCCTGCTGGTGAGTGGTTTGCATCTTCTGGTGTGGCCTCTATATTTCTGCTCTCTGAGTCTTCTTCCAACAGTGGATTGTGATACCTTCACCCCTGCACTGTGGAGGTCGTTGGTGATGTCACTTACTGATGTTTTGGGGGGTTTCTTCACAGCTCTCACGATATTTCTGTCATCAACTACTGTTTTCTTTTCCTTGGCCGACCTGTTTGACGTCTGTTGCTCAGTACACCAGTAGTTTCTTTCTTTTTCAGGACATTCCAAATTGTTGTGCTTGCTATGCCCAATGTTGGTCCAATGGCTCTGATCAATTTTCCTTCTTTTCTCAGCATGACAATGGCTTGCTTTTCTCCCACAGACAGCTCTCTGGTTTTCATGTTGGTTTATCCTCTTTAACAGGAAATGCTGTCTTCATAGGTTTGAACCAAGGATGAAAACTTAGACTAGTCATGCAGAGCTATTTAATGTTTGGACAATCGACCTAAAAGGCAACACCTGGGCAACAAGAAACATCTGTCAGCCACATGTTCCAATAGTTTTGCTCACTTCAAAAATGGGTGGGTTCAAACAAAGGGTGGTATGTCCTGAGTTGTTTAACACATCTAGATGTGAATACCACGACATGAGAGCTGAAATTCTGAACTCTTGTCTCATACTCATCTTTTGATCTTAAACCCAAATGTCTTCAGTGAACAACAAAAATACCGTTCCAATACTTTTGGAGGAGACTGTATACATTATTCTGAATTGGGCCATTCTGCATAATGCTACTTTTACTTTAAGTGTATTTTGATGCCTATACTCATACTACTTTTACATAATTAAGGTTTTGGTGAATGCAGGACTTTTACTTGCCAAAATTTACCTTACAAGCTGTATCCAGAATCTCAAGATCAACAGCTTCCTGGTCCACCACCCGACTGCATCTATAGGTCACCTCTGTAGCAAAACACATTTATTTATTTTATCCTGTTGGTGAATTAAGCAGGTAAGTAATGCAAGGTCCAATTACTTTATGTCCATGTCAATAATGTCTGTTGTTATAAATAATTACCCTTTTTATGGTCGTATTCACCAATGAAGCGCTTGGTTATGAAACGAACACACAGTGCTGGGGACACAAAACAGGCACCAGAGAGTGAACTACCAGACACACAACAGACGCTAACTAATAATTCCCTCATATACTGTGCATTCACACGCATGAAGTTTGATTTACACATTATTGCATCTGATCTGCAGCCTTCTGTATGTTCATCACAGTCACTTTGAGAATTATCCTCTTAGTCATTCGTTTAAACAAATGCAGAAGTGCTTTCTGTGTGTTTGTGTAGAAGGAGCCTGGATGGGTTCATGTTTGTTTGACGTCTGTGTCTGGTGTTCGAGAGCTCACTATAATTCCTTTTGGCAGGAGCCATTAAAAGGTTATTTAGGCTTGTTCAAGCTATTTATAACGCTTACAGCTGAAAAATGACTGCGTTCTCATCCATTTTCAGAAATTAAAACTCGTTGTCTACCTCTGATACACCTGAATCTCAAAATGCAGATTTTGTAACCAGTGTAGTTTTTCAAATATAATGTTTTTTATGTGAACATCACATATACAATTCCAACCACCTCCACTGTGAACCTTTAAACCACTAATGGAGGCTTAACCTCTGTAGGACTTGCAGGACTTACTGCTTTAAGTGTCTGGTAGTTTAGGGGGCTTGAACAAAAATATATTCACCACATTTAAATGAGGTTACACTGGTTTCAATAGTCTATGCAATATAATAGTAATCTACAGCGTATAATAATTACAGCTTTGAGGTTTTAACAATGTTAAGAGGTCCTGTTTTTAGTTTATGTATTCTTTCTTTCTATGATTTTGTTTTGTATTATTATTTATTAGTAGCACAAAAGACAAATAAAATATATAAAAATACAATACAAGGATTGTGCAGGAGAGGTAAACCCCCCCCAAGGGCTGATAGTATAACCTCCCCTCTGGATTTTCAGTTTATATTATACAAAATTAATACAGAAAAATAATGACATAATGATAAACGGCATGTTAGAAAAACAACCTGATCAATCACTACCAGCAGACTGCTCTTACTAAAGATCAAAATGAGAGTCCATAATAAAACAACCATGTCCAATGCATGAAAAGTGTAAGAAGTCCATTTCCCAACAAAGTAATTTCTCATAGTTTGTTTTCCCACCATGAAAATATCTGACAAAAGACATGTGCAGCAGCTTGACATTAAAACTTAGCTGTGTAGGTCATGGTTACACTTCAATGCTCTGGAAGAAGGGTCAACTTCAGACCTGTGTAAGATTTCCATATTTAGCAAAACCTCTTGAACCATGACCAGAATTGAACCCTAAACTTAACTTCTTTTATTTGCTTAAACTAGATTTCTTTCACGTGATAAACATGAGACAGTACGTCCAGCCTATGCTATCTTGTTTCTCCACCTGCTTGTGTACCTGTGTTTTTCTGCCTGTTTCTCTGTGCATTCTCTGTGTTTCTGTCTGTAGTCTATAATCTACCTGTTTTTCCAGTGTTCTGAGCTCCCAGAATGAGGAGTTTAACGGGAACCATTTTCCTGTTAGGTGCAATATTAGTCCACTGTCTGTCGCTGCATGAAAACCCTACAGAAAAGAACAGAGGCAATTTTGCATCACAACACAGGACAGTAAAAGTAGAACTACAAAACTACATGCAGCCTCGCTAAACAGAGGAGCAACACAATCTTTATGTAACAACATCCACATATAAATGTGTCTGGAGCAGTCCGTGAGTATCAAACTAAGTGGTACTAGTACACTATAGTACTGTATAGATAATACTGACCTTTGAGTAGAAACAAATTCCAGATATGGAGGAAATAATGAACTCACTGTGCTCAGTGTCAGACAGTGAGCAGACAGGGAGAGAAGAGATGGGACTGTCTTCTTTCTTTTCCTGTGTGTATGTGAGCCTCTCTGCTTCTGTTTGGTTATAGGAACTCTCTCTCTCACACACTCTCTCTCTTAGGGAACAGTATATGACAAGAGCCATTTGTCTGGAACAACTGTGTCCAACTCCAGACACCAGTGTCCCACTCTGATCTATACAAAACACTCTTAAGTGACTTTCAATTGTTCCCCAAAGGGTTGAAGTCCTTCTGAGTTCCAAGGACTCATTCTGAATTTTGGGAAACACACCTATTTGCTTCATTGCTGACAGTCAGATTACAAGATTGATTGCACTCTCATTTATGTCCATAGAATATGAAGGGAGAGCCAGCAGCCTCTAGCTTAGCCTTTAAGATTGGAAATGAGAAAACATCTAGTCTGGCAATAAAAAAATGTGCGTAGTGACTTCCTTGAGAAACTGCTAATGGTGACAAGACCCAGGAAGTCACTGCACATGGCTGAGAAATAGTCCCGCACAAAACAGTGAATTGTTGTTTGTATACTTGAGTTTTAGAAAGGATTAAATGATATAACCTGTTTATTAATGAGCTTCAGAGGTGACTGTAGCTTTATAATAAACGGTGTGGTTTCGATCTTCTCATCTAACTCTCAAAAATTCAAATGAGCGTTTTTCCCAAACTGTGAAGCTAAAACTTCACGTACAGTTTATGTGAATGATGAGGATCAATCCAACTGATGGATGAAACTTGGAAGATGTTCTGTAAAGCCTTTCTTTCAAACAAGAGCTCTACAACAAACACAAACCAGAGAAAGGCAGGTCTGATTGTTTTTACTCATTTCATTGGGTGGCCTTGAACCTGACCTCTGGATTCTGCAAAATACTGGCTTCTCTCAGGCCTCCTGCATGACAGCAGGCCTGCGCAGAATGCCAGATTTAACCATATTTCATGGGGAGTATTTGGCAAATGCTGCCTGGAAAGTTCAAAACTCTGACATTTTAATGTTTGAGGTATAACAGTTTGTTTACGTTAAGACTTTTCTGTCTGTTGAAGGGGCAGAAGTTAGATGTCCCAACTTTAAGATAAACAAATTTAAAAAAAGTTATACTGCACTGCAAAGATACTACTACGGTGACAACTTTAATATGGAGTACAGCTTTGATGATCATGTTGGTATAAACTGGGGTGGTGATGGTGCAGTGGATAAGACACCTGCCTTTGGTGTTAGAGACCCGGGTTCAGTCCCATCCACCATTGTGTCCCTGAGCACTTAACCCCGTAGTTGCTCCGGACCTCTGACATATATGGCAACTGTAAGTTGCTTTGGATAGAAGCGTCAGCTAAATAAAGTAATGTAATAAACTGCTGCAATTTTCCTAAAGAAAATTAATTTGAGACATTTCTAGAGTTAATCAAAAATCTGCAAGTAGTTAGGAGAACCACAAACTGGCACAAAGACATTTTTAAGATTTTATTCATATTTTATATGTTTTTCAGTTCTATTCAACAAAGATCGTTCTCAGGCGTGGAAACGATTTAACTGTATACAACAAGCACCAAGGACAGCTTTAAATTAAGGATCGACGCCGAGTTCGTTCAGAGAAATGTGTGCCTATTCAGGAGAGGACAGAGTTTATTGTTGTACTGTATGAGGTGTTTTTGGGTGTTCAGCAAACTGACGGCTCATCGACAGCAGCAGCTCCTTCTGTCACAGCTTTGACGCATTTAGCCATCGTCTGGGAGGCCCTGCTGATTGAGTCTGAACACAGAAAGAGAAGAGGTATAAGCATACTGTTTTACATTTTAATATTGGTATTTTTGCCCATATAGCCCACATTAAAAACGCACACTTACCTGTCATGTAGAAGTCCTTTGCAGTAAGTTGAGGTGGAACCAGAGGAGCCGCTATGAGGTCCTGGTTCACAGCCTGCGAAGAACAAAGTGAGGAAACACAGAGACAGATTAGAACTCCAGCATCAACACGACTGGCTCCAGTCCGCCTGCAGGGCTCACCGTGTGTGTTATGTCGATAACTTTAATATTTTCTGGCAAAGAATGTCTCTTTTTAAGACAGACGGACTTCACCCAAACAAATGTGGTTCAGAAATGTTAGCTGCTCACAAACAGCATGTGGTGCGGTCCACACATGACTTACGTGAATGACTAATCATTCAAGCAGCACACCTGGACACACCACTGGTCACTGAACAGATCTCTGCCTCACTGCCACAAACAACTGTCTCCACTGTCTGCTCCCAGCGCTGTTCCAAAGACTTCTATTCCTGTCATCATCATGCATAGACCAGTAAAAAGAAATGTGCACATCCCACACAGAAATCATAGTAATCTTATAAGGATTAGGACAACTGCACCAACTCTAGCACCTAGAACAAACTCATTTAAAATGGCTCTCTTCAATGTGAGATCACTTTCAAGTAAGACTTTTATCTTAAATGATTTTATCTTGTCTGCAAATCTGAACTGAACTGAAATGAACTGTGTCTGCCTCAATATGATGTTTTAGTCAACCGAGGGTCAGTGGTCGTGGTGGTGGGCTAGTGAGCGTGTATAGGAAATATTTAAAATGTCATTGAGTACACTGTGATGAATTTAACTCCTTTGAAGTTCTCACTCTTAAAGTTGGAGGGCTGCAACCTATCATATTTGTAATAATTTAGCGCCCCCCCAAAACCGCCTGGAGGATTTTTATCAGAACTTCCTGAATTTTTATCTACTCTGGTTTTAAATTATGACAGAATTGTTCTTTGTGGCGATTTTAATGTTCATGTTGATGACCCCACCAATGTTAATGCAACTGACTTTTTAAATATGTCCACTTCTTTTAACTTCAAACAACATGTCAAAGGGCAAACACATAACCGTGGTCATACACTGGACTTGGTTTTTACCCTGGGTGTCAGCATTTCCTCTGCCTCACCAAGCTCCGTGTGTTCTCGCATCTTTAATGAACAAAGTGTTTCAAAGTTTTGCGCATTCTTTCAGAGCCAAAGCCAACACCTGTCTGATTCCAACACCAACAATCTGGTCGATCACTTCAATCATATCTGCTTGTCGTCACTAAATATTACTGCTCCTCTAAAGGTTTGGCCTACGTCTAAAGCTAGTAAGCAACCCTGGATAAATGACAGCATTCGCAATCCCTAAAAAGGGAATGCAGGAAAGCAGAGCGCAGATGGAAAAAATCCAGTCTCCAAGTCCATTACCTCAGTCTGAAGGATTTATTAATTAACTACAATAACATGGTTAAGGATGCGAGAACACACTATTTTTCTGAACTCATTACTACACATAAACACAATCCCAGGTTTCTGTTTAATACTGTGGATCAGCTGGTAAACCCAACCCCTCCTTGTGCCTCAGCTGGAAATAATGACGACTGTGAATTGTTTTTATCTTATTTTACCAATAAGGTGGTGTCAATCAGAGCCTCTATTACCCCCGTGGCCTCTTACTCAGAGGTTCCTCACCAGCAACAAGAGAGTTTTAACCAGTTTTAACCCATCGACTTGTCTGAGCTTTTAAAAACAGTATCACAAATGAGATTGTCCTCCAGCCCACTTGATGTAATACCTATAAAGTTTTTACTGAAAGTAATAGATTCTGTTGGGCCCCATTTGATCTCTGTTTTTAACAGCTCCCTATCTACTGGTTGTGTCCCTGATTATTTTAAAACGGCTTTTGTGAACCCGCTTTTAAAGAAACCTGGTTTAGATCCCTCCCTCCCACATAATTTTAGACCAATTTCAAAACTGCCTTTTATTGCAAAGATTCTAGAAAGAATTGTGTCCAAACAGCTGCTCACTGTACTGGAAAATAACAAAATATTTGAAAAGTTTCAATCTGGTTTCAGGAAGCACTGAGACTGCCCTTCTTAAAGTCACCAATGACCTTTTAATGTCTGCTGATGAAGGCTTGTGCTCAGTCCTGGTACTCCTGGACCTTAGCGCTGCTTTTGACACCATTGATCACAACATCATGTTAGACAGACTGAGGCACTGGGTGGGGATCTCTGGTACTGCCTTAGAATGGTTTTCATCCTACCTGTCAAATAGGAAGTTTTGCATGTCTGTAAACAACTATGTTTCTTCGTTCTGTCCAGTTAAATATGGTGTGCCTCAGGGGTCGGTCTTAGGACCCATTTTGTTTTCCTTGTATCTGCTTCCCCTTGGACATATTATCCATAAACATGGCATTTCTTTTCATATTTATGCTGATGACACACAAATATATTTGCCCGTCAGATCCACAGACCCTGGAATGCTGAGTTCACTTAACAACTGCCTTTGTGAAGTTAAAAAATGGATGTCAAATAATTTCCTCCAGCTGAACTCAGACAAAACAGAAATCCTGGTCATTGGGTCCCAGCAGATGGCAGTAAATACTGCCATTTGCTGGTTCCCTAGTAAATCACATTAAGCCTGTGGCAAAGAACCTTGATGTCTAGTTTGATAGTTATTTAAATTTCGAGCAGCACATCACAAAGCTTGTTCAATCATGTTTTTATCAACTTAGAAATATAGCACAAATTCGATCTATGTTAACTTTTAAGGACACAGAGACCATTTTACACGCCTTCATCTCATCACGCCTGGATTATTGCAACAGCCTTTTCACTTGTTTAACCCAAAAATCTACTGATCGACTCCAGACTGTCCAGAACTCAGCTGCCAGGCTTTTAACCAGAACAAAGAAATATGACCACATTACTCCTATTTTAGCTTCATTACACTGGCTCCCAGTATGTTTTAGAATTGACTTTAAAATTCTATTGATTACTGTTAAAGCTCTTCATGGCCTCTCGCCTTGTTATATTTCTGACCTTTTAGTCCCATACACACCAGCACGTACCTTGAGATCCTCGGGCAGAGGTCTGTTGTCTGTTCCAGAGTCTCGACTGAAAACTAAAGGGGACAGAGCGTTTGCTGTCAGGGCCCCGAGGCTGTGGGACAGCCTGCCCGAGGAAATCAGGTCAGCTGAGTCAGTGAACTCTTTCAAGAAGTCCCTTCTTGAAACATACTTTTATAGGAGAGCCTTTCCCGATCTTATTTGACTT